CTCTCTGCCCTGTCTGCAGGTATTCCTTGCAGAATCCAGCAGGCGTTCATGTTATCCCCAGCGGGGTCCCACTCCCTTTGCTTATGCACAGTGCACTGGGCTTTCTGGTGAGCAGTAGCATAGCTACCGTCCCATCCAGAGCAGCAGCCATCGGTACTGCAGGAGTGGAGATTAAGGATAATCTAGGCATGGCACAATATCTAAACGAATATTTTGCATCGGTCTTTAATGAGGCTAATGAAGGGTTTAGGAATAGTGGCAGCGTGACAGATGGGAATAAAGGAGGGGGGGTTGACATTACCGTATCCGAGGTAGAAGCCAAACTCGAACAGTTTAACGGGACTAAATCGGGTGGACCGGATGATCTTCATCCGAGAATATTAAAGGAACTGGCGCAAGAAATTGCAAACCCGTTAGCGATAATTTTTAATGAATCTGTAAACTCGGGGGTGGTACCGTTTGACTGGAGAATAGCTAATGTGGTTCCTATTTTCAAGAAGGGGAAAAAAAGTGACCCGGGTAACTACAGGCCTGTTAGTTTAACATCTGTAATATGCAAGGTCTTGGAAAAAATTTTGAAGGAGAAAGTAGTTAAGGACCTTGATGTCAATGGCAATTGGGACAAATTACAACATGGTTTACGAAAGGTAGATCATGCCAAACCAACCTGATCTCCTTCTTTGAGAAAGTAACAGATTTTTTAGATAAAGGAAATGCGGTGGATCTAATATACCTCTATTTCAGTAAAGCGTTTGATACGGTACCGCATGAGGAATTATTGGTTAAATTGGAAAAGATGGGGATCGATATGAAAATCCAGAGGTGGATAAAGAACTGGTTAAAGGGGAGACTGCAGCGGGTCGTACTGAAAGGTGAACTGTCAGGTTGGAGGGAGGTTACCAGTGGAGTTCCTCAAGGTTCGGTTTTGGGCCCGATTGTATTTAATCTATTTATTACTGACCTCGGAACCAAATGTAGGAGTGGGCTGATGAAGTTTGCGGATGACACAAAGTTGGGAGGTATTGCCAATTCGGAGAAGGATCGGGATATCCTGCAGGGAGATTTGGATGACCTTGTAAACTGGAGTAATAGTAATAGGATGAAATTTAATAGTGAGAAGTGTAAGGTTATGCATTTAGGGATGACTAACAAGAATTTTAGTTATAAGCTGGGGATGCATCGGTTGGAAGTAACGGAGGAGGAGAAGTTTCAGAGTAGCAGCCGTGTTAGTCTGTATCCGCAAAAATAACAGGAGTACTTGTGGCACCTTAGAGACTAACAAATTTATTAGAGTATAAGCTTTCGTGGGCTACCGAAGAAGTGGGTTGTAGCCCACGAAAGCTTATGCTCTAATAAATTTGTTAGTCTCTAAGGTGCCACAAGTACTCCTGTTATTTTTGGAGGAGAAGAAGGATCTCGGAGTCCTGGTTGATCGCAGGATGACTGAGTCGGCAATGTGACGTGGCCATGAAAAAAGCTAATGCGGTTTTGGGATGCATTAGGCGAGGTATTTCTAGTAGGGATAAGGAGGTGCTGGTTCCATTATACAAGGCACTGGTGAGACCTCATTTGGAGTACTGTGTGCAGTTCTGGTCTCCCATGTTTAAAAAGGATGAATTCAAACTGGAATGGGTACAGAGAAGGGCCACTAGGATGATCCGAGGAATGGAAAACCTGTCGTATGAAAGGAGACTCGAGGAGCTCGGTTTGTTTACCTTAACCAAAAGAAGGCTGAGGGGGGATATGATTGCTCTCTTTAAATATATCAGAGGGATAAATACCAGGGAGGGAGAGGAATTATTTCAGCTCAGTACTAATGTGGACACAAGAACAAATGGATATAAACTGGCCGTCGGGAAGTTTAGGCTTGAAATTAGATGAAGGTTTCTAACCATCAGAGGGGTGAAGTTCTGGAACAGCCTTCCGAGGGAAACAGTGGGGGCGAAAGACCTCTCTGGCTTTAAGATTAAGCTTGATAAGTTTATGGAGGGGATGGTTTGATGGGATAACGTGATTTTAGTCAATAGGTCAATAACGTGCCATCGCTGGTAATTAGTAACAATGGTCAATGATGGGATATTAAACGTTACTACAGAGAACTTTTTCCGGAGGGTCTGGCTGGAGAATCTTGCCCGCATGCTCGGGGTTCAGCTGATCGCCATATTTGGGGTCGGGAAGGAATTTTCCTCCAGGGTAGATTGGCAGAGGCCCTGGAGGTTTTTCGCCTTCCTCCGCAGCATGGGGCAAAAGGGGTCGCTTGCTGGAGGATTCTCTGCGACTTGAAGTCTTTAAATCACGATTTGGGGACTTCAACAGCTGAGTCAAGGGAGAGAATTATTCCAGGAGTGGGTGGGTCAGCTTTTGTGGCCTGCATCATGCGGGAGGTCAGACTAGATGATCATAATGGTCCCTTCTGACCTTAAAGTCTATGAGTCTATGAGTCTGAGTCCTCCCCAGGAGGCCATCTAACAAGTCCTCCTCCCCCAATGAGGCAGGCACATCCCATTCGCTGTGCTACGTAGATGATTTCAGGGCTTTTCAAGACCAGATGAGGAGAGCGGAATCATTCCAGATCCCTTGGGAGGAAATCCAGGAAACTCTGCACTCCCTGCTGGACCACCTTGCCTTAGCCCTTAACGAGGCTTTACTGTCAGCCGTCTGTGCCATGTGGCACACGCCTGCTACCATCCTGCCTGTTTGCAAGAGGGCAAACAACAACTATATTGTACTGACCAAAGGGCTGGAATATTTTTTCTCCCATCCTACCCCCAACTCCTTGGTAATGGACGTGGTCAACAAGAGGAGTCGACAGACCCAGCTCCAAATTGATTCCCTCAGATAAAACACTCAAGCGAATGGTCCTGCCGGGCTGAAAGAGCTACTCATTGGCTGCTCTGGGATTTCACAAACTATGCCAAATTTTCACATTTTATTGACCACCTACCGCAAGACCAAAAGGAACTGGCTCAGGCCCTCACGGTTGAAGGCCAGATGATTGCGAAGGCTTCGCTTCAAGCTTCTCTTGACGCTGCTGACACAGCCTCGTGCTCGATGGCAACTGCTGTCTCCATGCACTGAGCCTCCTGGCTATGGTCTGCTGGTCTCCCCGGTGGTACAGAACATGGTGTTGGGCCTTCCTTTCTAAGGCCTCAAGCTCTTCAGTAGTGACACCACCGGCTTGCTCCAGGGCAACTGCAACCCCTTGAGATCTATACACCTGAGCAGAGACGATTTAGCAAATCAGACTGCTCAGCGCGCCTGGCCTTTTCAATTCCAGACCTAAAGGAGAGGAGCAGAACCCCCCAGAAAGAAGTGCAGACCTCAGTGGGAACGTTGCAGTCCGACGTGTTGGTTGAGGATCCCTTCTCTAGATCTCTCACTGCAGAACCAGCCTCCAGGCATCCTTTGGGCACTGTCACACACATGTACCCTGCCCCTGTGCAGAGACCCTTCTCGCAAGAGTCTCCTAAGGCACCTGATTCTGGGGGCGATCGAGCCTGTTGCTCTAGTATTCGCTGGAAGAAGGTTCTACTCCAGGTCTAAGTTCCCTGTAAGCTGCGCAGCCACGCAGCAGCCTATTTAGCTTCGCGCAGGCGCTCAGGGACCTGCCTCGGCTAGGGCGCCCCTCCCCCGGACCCAGCTCAACCTGCAGCCTGGACCTGCCGCGGCTGGTGCTCCCGGACCTGCCGGAGTGGCCCAAACCCAGCCGCGGACGGATTGGGCCCAGCCGTGGTCGAGGAAGCCCTATCTATGTCCGCTTCTGCATCTCTCCTCATGGACATGCTCAGTTACCTGCTGTGTTTAAGAACACAGGGGCTGTCCCGGAACTCCATTAGGGTTCAGCTGGTGGCTGTCACAGCATTTCACTCGCCTGTGGAAGGGTTGTCTGGCTTTGCTCACTGGGGCTTTGTGCTTCCCTTTATGCAGCACTGTGCCCACTGGGGAGAGCAGCCCTCCTGCTGCTCCTTGGTCTGTAGATTCCAAGTCAAGAAGGGACCATTGAGATCATCTTCTTCGACCTCCTGTATAACACAGGCCGTTGAACTCCCCTGGATTGATTCCCGTTAAACCAGAGCGGTTTTTTTTGAAAAACATCCAATCTTGATTTAAAATGGTCAGCAATGGAGAAGCCACCACGATCCTTGGTCAGTTGCTCCAATGGTTAATTACTCTGTTTAAAAAATACACCATCTGTCGAGTCCAACTTTGTCTAGCTTCAACTTCCAGTTACTGGGTCATGTTAGACCTTCCTCTGCTAGACTAGGGAGCTCATTACCAAGTATTTGTTCCCTGGGTAGTTACTTATCGACTGGGGTCAAATCATCTCTTAACCTTCTCTTTGCTAAGCTAAATAGATTGAGCTTGAGTCCGACACTGTAAGGCATTTTTTCTAATGTTTTAGTTATTCTTGTCTCTTCTCTGACCCCTCTCCAATTTATCAACCTCCTCCTTGAATTGTGGGCACATGAAATGGACACGCTATTCCAGCAGCGGTCACATCAGTGACAAATACAGAGGTAAAATAACCTCTTGACTCCTACTTGAGAGTCCCCATTTTTGCATCCAAGGCTGGCATTAGCCCTTTCGGCCACAGCATTACAGGAGGAGCTCACGTTGAGCTGATTATCCATCCGCACTCCCAAATCTTTTCCAAAGTGACTGTCTCTCCTAGGCTAGAGTCCCCTAGGCTGAGTATGGGCTGCATTCTTTGTTCCTAGATCTATACATCTACATTTAGCCATATTAAAAGACCCACCTTACCGAGTGATCTGGATCTCTGTGTGACCTGTCCTCTTCATTATTTACCACTCCCCCAATCTTTCTCAGGGTTGGTTTTGTTTTCTTTCAGAGGGCCCAAGAACAGATCCCAGTGGGACCTCACTAGGAACACCCACTGGAGGAGGATTCCCTGTTTACAGTTACATTTTGAGACCGGTCAGCTAGCTTTTAATCCCCTTACTGTGTGCCATTTTGAATTTGTATTATTTTAGTTAGTGTCAGGTGGTACCAAGTCAAATGCCTTACAGAAATCTAAGTCTATCACATCACCACTATTACCTTTATCAGCCAAACTTGTAACCTCATCACAAAAAGAGAGATCCTATCAAACTATTTCCATAACTCCACGTTGATTGAAAAAGAGAGTAATATAATTAATGCCATTCTTTATTAAGTGATTCCCATATCAGTTCTTCCCTTATTTTCCCTGGAGGGGAGGTGATGGCTAGGTCCCCTCTATACCCTGGGACCCCCACATGGGAGAGGTGACAGGCTCCTGGTGCTGGGGGTGCATGGATCTCACTCTGGCAAGTGCCGAGATATTTTCCCCAATATGCCTACTCTGCCCCCATCCACTCCCCTGCGCTGCATTCTCCTGCCCGTGGGATGGGGCTGGAATTGGGGTGCCATTGGGGTGGGGGGGACGCAGGGGCCCCAGGGCCTGGAGTCTGCTCTCACCTCTGTGTCACTGGTCCCACAGGAACAAGGACACAACCAGAGACGAATTCATCTTCTATTCCAAGCGCCTGATGAGGCTGCTGATTGAACATGCCCTCTCCTTCCTGCCACTCAACGTATGTGACCTGTAGGCCCTGCCCCTTTCCTGGTGACCTGCCCCTCCTGCCTGCCACTCATGCTACAGGCCCCGCCCCTTTCCTGGTGACCTGCCCCTCCTGCCTGCCACTCATGCTACAGGCCCCGCCCTTTCCCTGGTGACCTGCCCCTCCTGCCTGCCACTCATGCTACAGCCCCCGCCCCTCTTCCTCCTGCTTACAGTAAAGGTCCTGCCCCTTCCCCAGTGACCCGCCCCTCCTGCCTGCCACTCACGGTACAGGCCCCGCCCCTCCTGCCTGCCACTCACGGTACAGGCCCTGCCCCCAATCTGCCATGTAAGGCCCAGGCGCTGCCCTTTGCTACCTGCTCTTATGCTGTCTGGACGAAGTTGCTGCGTCATGCTGCAGCCTGGCTCAGGGTCTGCCCCCACATTAACAACCTGCTCTTCTCCTGCAGCCAGTGACAGTGGAGACGCCTCAGGGGACTGTGTATGAAGGGAAGCGGTTCCACAGGCAGCGGGTGAGACTGGCCAGGTCCCCCCAGAACTCTGGGAGGAAGGGTGGCCATTCCACAGCCCTGGCCTGGGGAGAGCTAGTTCCATTCCCTGCTCTGCACAGACTGCCTGTGTGACCCCCGGTCAGTCACTTAGCTTCTGTGAGGTCAGTTCCCCCTGTCGCGTGCAGCGAGGCAGGATTGGGAGAAGATGGTGAGGCTCTCAGGTCCTGGGCTGATGGGGACCAGAGAAATGTCTATTCACCCATCTAGGACAACACCCCCTTGGGCTCCAGGAGGGGGATGCAAGGCTTCCCAGACTGCTTTGGGGAATAGGAAGGGTGGCTGGGGGTCCTTGCCCCAGTATGAGGGCTGGGGGGCTGTTGGGATGTGCTGCCCCAGTGTGGGAGGTGGGGGGCAGGGAGGGAAGTGCTGCCCTGGCGGGGGGTCTGAGAGGCGGGAGGCAGTCGCTGCCCCCTCGGGGTAGCTGCATGCCCAGTCCAGTCTAAGGTGGCTGTTGTCTTCCCTCTGCACCAGATCACAGGTGTGTCCATCCTGCGGGCGGGGGAGACCATGGAGCAGGCGCTCACTGCTGTCTGCAAAGACATTCGATTGGGCAAGATTCTGATCCAGACCAACCACGACACAGGGGAGCCTGAGGTGAGCGCTGCCCTGTCCGTCCCTTCTCTGCCCCCAGCGTCCACAGAGTGCTTGTGAATTCCACAAGGGGCTGCGGGGTGGGGGCAGGGTGTCGCACTTGACTCCTTCATAAACCCTGTCCCCCATCTCTCCTCAGCTTCACTATCTGCGGCTCCCCAAGGAGATCAGCGAAGATTATGTCATTCTCATGGACAGCACCGTGTCCACGGGGGCTGCAGCCATGATGGCCGTGCGCGTCCTGCTGGTGAGCCTGCCGGGCTGGCCCTATCCTCTGGGAATCGGGGCGGGCTGCCTGGGGTTTCCAGCATGGAAGCAGGGAGGCTACTGCTCTGAGAGCATGAGGCACTTCGCCATAGGTGGTAGTATAATAGGCTAAGCCTCCGCTGGCCTAGCCGCTGCTGCCAGGTTGCAGGTTTTGGCAGTTTGCATAGGGAAAGTTTTTGCTTCTTATTATGCGCCAGGCAGGTGCTGAGGTGGTTGAGGATGTGGTATGTGCTACTCAGCTCCCCCAGTTCATCAGTCATCTCCTGGAGTAGCAGATACCACCTCCTCAGCCGCCTCGGAACCTGCACGGGGCATAGAAAAAACTTCAGGAAGCGCTTTGCTTTTCCAGTGGGGTGTCTCGGGAGGGGAGGTGCGGCGTGGCTGGGGCTGGCCTGGGGCATGCGATGGAGGGGGTGGGCTCAGGGCTCCTGGCGGCCTGGGGCTCCTCCAGCCGGGGGAGGAAGACAGGGGAGTGGGCTTGGGGCGGCCCGGTGCTCCTCCGGCCGCGGGGGTGCTTGGGTGGAAGGGGCAGGGCTGGGCCCTAGCCTCCCGGAAGGGTGCTCCTCCTGCTGCCCATGCACTTCGCTCTGGGGCCAGACTGCTCAGCACTGTCTATGCTGCAGGATCACGATGTCCACGAAGAGAAGATCTTCCTGCTGTCCCTGCTGATGGCGGAGATGGGGGTTCACTCCGTGGCCTACGCCTTCCCCCGTGTCCGCATCATCACCACAGCCGTGGACAAGAGGGTTAACGAGGAATTCCACATCATCCCTGGCATCGGTAAGGGGGGCGGGGAGCTCAGCCTGGCTTGGGCGACTGCCTGTGGCCGCTCAGACCAGGCCCTACGGTGCCCTTCCTCGGCCCGGAGACAGCTGTGCTCCCGGCAGGGCCGGGCCGGGCTGCAGACCTGGGCGGATTGATGTGAGGCAATGGTTTCATTCTCCTGGGGCTTCCTCGGGGGAGAGGGGCTGGCATCATGGGGTAGGGTGCTGCTGGTCGCCTTACTGTGTTGCTTTTGTGTCTAGGTAACTTTGGAGACAGGTACTTTGGTACTGATGCCCCCTCCGCCTGGTGTGAGAGTGAGAGCACGGACTACTGAGCTGGCCTCCCTGCCTGCCAGCCTTGCCCCCGCTGCCTCCTCCCTCCCTCCAGCCTCGCCCTTCTGCTCCCCCCCAGGATGGCCCCTCCCTGCTGGCCTCACAGGGCCCTGATGCTACTTCCCTCTGGACCACACGCTGTTGGGCGGGCAGCTATTTGGAAACTGCCCACCAGCGCCTCCAGTGTACATGCAGGGAAGAGACTGCCTGTGGCCTGCAGTGTCCGCACGCTGGGTACACACTCCTCGTGCCCCCCTCTGGTTGGTGGACGGAGGGGGGGTCAGATTCTCCCTGTGGCCCCACATGGATGTGGGTGTGTGTGGAGTGGTGGAGGTGGTAAAAAACTCTCCCTATGGCCTGGAAGGGGCGAGGTGAGGCCCATGCACTGGCTGGGGCAGGCGCTCTATGTTTATTTGCTCGGAGCAGTTACTCCCCCCATGTTCCGGCTCATGGGCCAGCTACTTGAAAAATTGTCAGGGACCAAGGATCAAATGGAAGGGAACAGCCCCGTCTCCGTCAACCCGCAGCTCTACTCTTTTCCCCCCTCCCACCCCAGTGCCCAGATAGTCCTGAACGTGGGGCAGGGCCCCGGGGCTGTTTAGCCTGGAGCAGTCTGGTGCTGGCAGGGAACTAGGGCTGGTGCAGAATAGGAGGTGCCCTCACCTTCCACAGCAGGCATTCCAGCCCACGGGCCAGGTTCATGAGTCTGGCAGCTCCCTCTTCTCTGGGGCGCTGGCCTTGGGTGGGTGGTCAGGGCCAGCTCTGCTGGAGATGCTCAGCCTGTCCGGGAGGCAGGTGGGGGAGTTCATCCCTCCACGGGTGTGGGCTTGGGAGGAGACCCTGAGCTCCTTCCTTGACTCCTGTCTCTTGCTCAGGGCAGGACAGCTACGTGCCGCAGAAGCTGCTCCAAGGGGGAGCACGGCACGGCGGTCTCAACGTGTTTCAGCAGCCCCCCGTCCGAGCCCCTCCCCGCAATGCTGCCTCCTTGCCCGGGGCATGGGGAGACGGCTGCCGCCCCAGCGCTGGCTCATCCATTACTTCAATGCACAGGAAATCAGGACCACAGAGTGGGACAAGACGATTTCCGTCTCCTTGGAGAGCTGGTTTCAGTGGGGTCTCCCATTGCCACGCACAGTGCTAGAAGCCAGGGGCTGCCTCATGTCTTGCTGGGGCTCTGGGCCCGGGCCCCAGGAATGGCAGCAGCAGCACGCCGGTGGGGCATGCGTTTCTTGGCCCTTTACTGAGACTGGCAAGGGCATGCGAGGCTTCTGCAGGACAGGCCTGGGAAGTGGCAGATGCCCCTAGCGCTTGGTTCCTGCAAGCGGCTCTTCGCCAGCCCTGGGACCGGGCGCCCTCCCGCTCTGCCCTTGCAGTACTGTACATGGCGGCCTTCGTTTTGTACGCGCTAATAAAGGGTCTGCCAGGACTTCCCTGCTCGCCTCCTTTCGCACATCAGCTCCAAGGAGAGGGCAACCAACGAGCAATGGCTGCCCAGAGCTGGGGGCCAGGGGCCTCTCCACTGCCGGGGGCGGGGTGGGGGGCATGCTGGGAGTAGCTATAGCAGGGGAAAGGGGCATGCTGGGAGTTGGTGTATCTGGAAGGGAGCGGGGCATGCTGGGAGTTGGGGTGACGGGAAGCGGGGCATGCCGGGACTTGGAGGCGAGCGGGGGGTGACGGGGAGCGGGGCATGCTGGGAGTTGGTGTATCTGGAAGGGAGCGGGGCATGATGGGAGCTGGGGTGACGGGGAGCGGGGCATGCCGGGACTTGGAGGCGAGCGGGGGGTGACGGGGCGTGGGGCATGCCGGGAGTTGGAGGCGAGCGGGGCATGCTGGGAGTTGGGGTGACGGGGAGCGGGGCATGCCGGGAGTTGGAGGCGAGCGGGGGGTGACGGGGAGTGGGGCATGCCGGGAGTTGTGTCTCTGGGGGGCTCCCAGGCCCGGTGGTCCCCAGGGACGGGCTCTGCCCTTTCATCTCCGTACAAGGATCTGCACATGCGCAGGGTCCGGTCAGGGTTAAGGCGCCTGCGCAGGGCTCGGGCTGCGCATGCGCAGTCGTGACGAGGGTCTGGTTCTACCGGGTCGGTGGCGGAGGCTGAGCGGGGCCGCGGGAGCTGCCGGTGAGAGACGGGCCGGGGCCGGGGCCGGGGCCGGGGCCGGGTCATGGGCGGATCATCCGGGCCCAGCCTCGCCCTCCTCCCGCCGCCGCTGGCCTGCGGAACTCCCCGCGACGAGACGCTCTGCCGCGCGGCCCCGGGGTGCGGGGGGGGCCGGGCCCGGCCCGGCCCTGACTCCGACCCTCGCTGGGCCCCGGGCTGCGAGCCCGTGTGCGGCCGGGGCTCGGGGCGGGCTCGTTCGCTGCCCGGCTCGGGGGGGGGAGTCCCGGGCTCCAGCGAGTGCTCCGCGGTGGGGCCTGGCCGGGGCAGCGGCGCTGGGAGCGGCCGGGTTCAGGAGCTGGGGACCCGAGTCCTCCCGCGCCCCCAGCCCGGTGCCCCGCCGGGAGCGGTCTCCTGCCAGGCCGCCTGCCCCGCCTACGCGGAGTGTCCTAGGAGCGCCGCCGCCCTCGGCCCCCTCCGCGCGGGGCCGGGGCCGGTGTGAGCTGTCCCGGCCCGGAGCGGGGATCGGCCCGGAGCTCCTGCCCCCAGGGACCTGGGGCGACCCCCAGTCACCGTGACCCCTCCAGGGGGTGCGGGGAGGGTCTGGGATCCGGCTCATCACCCCTCCCGCTGCCTTGGGCAGCTGCGTGTGCCGTGTGCCCCCCATCCCCTGTCGGGCAGAGCCGGGGCCAGGAGTTGGGCTGTCATGGGGCCAAGCCCCGGCAGGCGAGACCCACTCGGTTCTTGGTGCCTGTTGGTGCTGTGAGGGCACCGCTCGGTGCGATCTGATTAACGTGGGTCCGTCTCAAAGCCTGTCCTAACCCTGCTGCCCCACGCTCCCGCCCTGCAGCCGGGCCATGAGCGGTGGGGCTCGGAGCAGGAAGTGATTCCCCCAAGCCAGGGATCAAGCCCAAGAGCTCCGTCACATCCATGGGGCCAGGCAGGGGCTGGCAGTGGGCAGGCTGGTTGCTGGGCTGTCTGTGTCTCCTCGCCTCCCTCCCCCTTGGGTCGTGGGCAGGTGGGCGCTGGCTGTGCCCTCCCTTGGGTCGTGGGCAGGTGGGCGCTGGCTGTGCCCTCCCTTGGGTCGTGGGCAGGTGGGCGCTGGCTGTGCCCTCCCTTGGGTCGTGGGCAGCCTGGTTGCTGGGCTCTCTCTCTGTCTCTCGTCCCGGTCTGGCCAGTTGTTGCCCTGCCTTGTTTCACTTCCTCATTCCTGCTGCCGGGTGAGCCTGGATTCCCAGCACCTGGCTAGGTAAGTGCTGTGTCCTGGCCCCTGTCCTGCTGCTGAGCTCTCGTGCCCTTTTTGGGGGTAGGGCAGGGGAGCTTGCGGGGTGAGAGAAGCCCAGAGCTGACAAGCTGCAGACAGAGGGTTTGGGGGTGTCTGTGTGGGGAGATGCACTTCGATGTCTCTGCGGTTAGTGCATGGCTGGGAATGGGGCATGCTGCGCTGGCATGTATCTGGGATTGCTGTGGGCCCTGTGGCCAGGAGTGGGCAGTGCTGGCCATTGGCAGCCCTGACTCGTGAGGGTGAAGGGGAGGCAGAGCAGCTGCTGCGAGCGGCCTGCCCAGAGTGTCTGCGCATGTGGCAGGGTCGCCCCAGGCTGCTGGGGGCCCGTGGTGCTGGTGTGCTTTGCTGCACCTGGCACTGATGTGGCCTTGTCTCCGCTGTCCAGGGCTGTGTGTCTTATGGAGGTGGGGAGGTTTGGTATGGAGGGAGCTGTAGGCACTGCTGGCCTTGCATGTGGGAGCCCCAGGCCAGGTGGTGCACGCGGGGCCTGCCGGAAATCTGCTGTTCCCTGCTTCCTCGCTGGTATTGTGAGCGCTGGCTGCAGCGTAGGAGCCCTGGGCTTGACCCTCTGCTGGAGAGCTGGTGTCTGCATGGTTTCATAATCCCCCAGGGGGCTCTGCTGAGCGGGCCCTGTGATGGGAGGGGGATCCCCTGGGCAGCTGTGCCCCGCTGCCTGCCTTGATTGCCATGATGAGATGGCCCTGCAGTGGGTGACAGGATCCTGGCCAGCACATGCCCCGCTGCTCGCTCTGGGGAGCTGGAATAGCTGGCGTGCCAGGCCCTGCGCCCAGCTCCCTGTGTCCTCACCCGTCCTGCCCCACAAAGTGGTGGCTGCAGCTTGCAGCGCATGGGCATGTTGACTTACACCCCCATTCCCCCTCCAATACAGAGCAACATGGCGGAACCCGGCCGACCCCAGCGGAAAATGTCCCGGGCCGGGGAGAGTTTGTACAGAGTCCTGGGCCTGGAGAAGGGGGCTTCTTCAGAGGAGATCAAGAAGGCGTACAGGTAGGGAGCCCGCCTGCTGGGCCCAGCGACCCCAGCCTCTCCCACAGGCCCTTTGTGGCTGCACCTCCGCTGCCGGACCTGCTGGGGCAGGGAGAGCCCAGCCAGCCATGCAGGCGAGTGCCTCCGCACGCATGCTGGGCTCTGGCCCTGTGTCTGGAGAGGAATGCACACCCTGGAACTGCAGGGTGGAGTTACACCATGCTGTCCCAAGGGTCCTCCTGCCCCCAGCATGGGGCAGGGTCATACCAAGGAGCTCAGGGTCTCCAAGCCCCAGGGAAAAGGGAGGGAGGATTCTCTGGGTGCCCACCTGAGATCTGGGGGGGCGGCTTTGGACATCTCCTCAGCCCTGCCGCTCCCCTGCACTATGCAGGAAACTGGCCCTGAAGTACCACCCAGACAAGAACCCCGAGAATCCCGAGGCAGTGGAGAAGTTCAAGGAGATCAACAATGCGAACGCGACGCTGAATGACGAGAACAAGCGGCGGATCTATGACGAGTATGGCTCCATGGGGCTCTACGTGGCGGAGCAGTTTGGCGAGGAGAGCGTCAAGTACTACTTCCTCATGTCCAAGTGGTGGTTCAAGGTGAGTGCCCGCTGCCTGCTGGGCACAGCCCCCCCGGCCTGTTCTGTGCGCCTGTCGGGCACCCACAGAGACACCACGGGCCACTCTCCAGCGCTGGCTGCTCCAGCCACGTGGCGCGATGCGGAGAGGTCTCCTGGGCTCTGGGTGCCCCACTGGAGGTGGGTGGGGTGCCCAGACCCTGAGCCACCCATGGTGGGAGTTCACAGTCAGTCTGACCATCGGTGTAAATGGGGCAGGATCTGAGGCTAAACTAAGAAAGAACAAGAATTACATAGACAAGTTAGGTGATTTCAAGTCGGCAGGGCCTGATGAAATACATCTTAGAATACTTAAGGAACTGGCTGAAGAGACCTCTGGGCCATTAGTGATTATCTTTGAGAACTCCCGGAAGCCAGATCCCAGAGGACTGGCAAAGGGCAAATATAGCCCTTGTCACTAAATGGGAATAAGGACAAACCAGGGAATTACAGACCAGTCAGTTTAGCTTTGGTACCTGGAAAGATAATGGAGCAAATATTCAAACAATGTATTTGTAAAGACTTACAAGATAATAAGGTGATAAGTGACAGTGAGCATGTATTTGTCAAGAACAAATCTTGGCAAACCAACGTAATATCCTCCTTTGACAGGGTAACAAGCCTTGTGGATAGGGGGAAGATAAAAGCCTTACTGAAGTTGAGATATACTGTCTCAAGTGACTGTCTCATAAACAAACTAGGGAAATGTAACCTAGACGAACCTACTGTAAGGTGGGTGCAAAACCCTTCCCAGAGAGTCGTTATCGGTGGTTCACAGTCAAGCTAGAAGGGCATATCAAGTGGGGTCCCACAGGGATCTATCCTGGGGCTACTTCTATTCAATATCTTCATCAGTGATTTAGAGAATGGCACAGAGATACACTTGTAAAGTTTGCAGATGATACCAAGCTGGGAGGAGTTGCAAGTGCTTTGGAGGACAGGATTAAAATTCAAAATGACCTGGACAAACTGCAGAAATGGTCTGAAGTAAACAGGACGAAATTCAAGAAGGACAGATGCAAAGTACTCCACTTAGGAAGGAACAATCTGTTGCACACATATAAAATGGGAAATGACTGCCTAGGAAGGAGTCCTGCGGAAAGGGATCTCGGGGTCATAGTAGATCACAAGCTAAGTATGAGTGAAGAGTGGAACACAGTTGCAAAAAAAGAAAACATCATTCTGGGATGTATTAGCAGGAGTGTTGTAAGCAAGACACGAGAAGTGATTCTTCCGCTCTACTCTGCGCTGGTTAGGCCTCAACTGGAGTATTGTGTCCAGTTCTGGGCGTCACATTTCAGGAAAGATGTGGAGAAATTCGAGAGAGTCCAGAGAAGAGCAACAAAAATGATTATAGGTCTGAAAAGCATGACCTTCCAGGAAGAATTGAAAAATTGGTTTGTTTAGTTTGGCAAAGAGAAGAGGGGGGGGGGGGGGGA